TTTACTTAATTTTGAGTTGAGCCTCTCACTTGAACTCGTTATGGTTGTCAAAAAATGAAAGACCCAACGATACACTATATAGTCCGTACATGGTCGTGCAACATTTTTGATTGCTTATGAAGATGGGCGTGGCCGGCAATGGTAATTGTAGTCTACTTTCACCTCCTTTCGGGTGCAACACGAATTACCAGTAACCCTGTATTTTTCAAAGTTCCATATGATATTCTATTGTAAAATGCACCACTATGCTGCCTATTACCCATAATCGCATATCAGTCCCATCTTTGCTTGATTTCCTATCCATATGGGACTGATATGCGATTATGGGCTGTATAATCCCATATCAGTCCCACATGGAAAAAGTAGGCTTTCATAAAATGGCAGTTGAAGTTATGAAATTCAATTCCCATGTGCATATTTGGAAAATCCTGGGGGCAAGACAGCTTTTGATCATGAGTAATGTTTGAGTTAATTTTGAGTAACTCTGAGTAACTCTAGTTGCTCAATATGCGATGCACGGTAACACAGCAAGCTGTTTTTTTTTGTGATTAAGTGACTAGTTTAATAGTACGTTCAGACTATGGCTGATATCATGTATTATAGGCTTGAGCACTCATACCTCAAATTTTCACCGGAAATCGTAAGAATGACTTTTGACATCAAAATAGTCAGCTATAGTCTGAACGTACTATATTGGTTTATACTGGATCATCATCCTTCAATCCCTTTGGCAGCTCGGTCTACGGCAGCACATCTAAAACCTACCGGAACGACTTAGACGTAACACATCGACAATGTCAACGCATAGCTACGGGATGTTCTAAGACTACACCGATCAACACCTTGGCTGCCCTAGCAAATGAGGAGCCACTAGAACTGCAGCGGTACTATTGGACAAAGAAGAGAATATCATCCCACTTTCGTTAACAAGATGCAGTATATCATCAATTAATTTCACTAGAAAACAACGATACAGCTGGAAACAAGAGATTCACATCCATCGAGAAAGTCTACATTGAAAACGCGATTGAAGTTAGCAGAATCTACGAGCAAGTCACGGCAGAGACTGCATATGATGTCACGATTCGGCACCAAATTGAAGGAATGCCTATCAATAAAACTAAAATGGCTCCATCTACTATGCGACAAATCACCCTGGAATACATGAACAAAGAGTACCCTCTATGGCGAAGGGTATATACGGACGCCTCGAGAACAGCGGACGCTTGCGGAATAGGAGTTTACGAACGCGAGACCGGAATGGACATAAGTCTTAAGTTAGAACAACACTCCAGCATCATGACGGCGGAACTCGTTGCCATACGGATTGGCCTAGAAGAAATTTCAAAATTAGACAGAGTGAACACTGTGATACTCACCGACTCGCAATCAGCCTGTCTGCTATTGGAAAAACATCAGGAATGCAAAACTTGGGACAGTCTAACAGGAGCAATCTGCAAGGAACTGCAATCAACGGGCACTATACTACAATGGATCCCTGGCCATGTGGGCCTGGAGGGCAATGAAGCAGCAGATACTTTGGCCAAAGCAGGACTAAACAATGATGCGGTTATCGTCAACAAGCTCCTCTGGAACGATGTGGTACTTCGCTATAAGAAGCAGCTAGCAGAAGCTACAAATGAGTGGTATACCAACATCGTATTCACTCAGAATAAAGGGAAGAAATTTTACGATTTGTTCAACTGTTTTCCTGGAAGACCGTGGTTCTGGAACGCGGAATTCAACGGTGAAGAGGTGCGAACACTCAACAGGATTATGGCCGGTCACGATTTTTCGAACTACTGGCTGGCCAAAATGCGGCTGGTAGAATCAGAAGAATGTGATCTTTGCGATGAAATTGACACAACGGAACATTTGCTATTAAACTGTATAAAGTACACCCACATTCGAAACTACTTTGATTGGGAGGATCACAGACGTATACAAGACCTAGTACGTGACAAAGAAGGAGTAAATAACGTAGAGTTGAAAAACATAATAAAATTCATCAGAATGGCAAGAATAAATCCGTAATGGCTAGGTAACGACTAACCGTCACAGCGACTGGCGTTTATGAGGCACAGCTCCTCGGGCCAACAAATCGAAACTCCAACAACAACAACAACAACAAATCCTTCAATCCCATGACCATCATACTTCTTCGTACCGTACCTATTATTCGTATGCCTTTTTCATCCGAATCTAATGCAGCCTGTTATCGGTGGAAGCTGACCATAGCATTTGCAAATTCAATAAATGAGACATTTTAACCGTCTTCTGTGGTATTTGCTGTTTATTTCATACGCTCTAGATAGGTACATAGGGGAAATGGCTCTAATGTTGGACTATGGATCTAATATTAAGCCCATCGCTAAAAATCTGCTATTTATCAATTTTATCTAGATGAACGCGTTATTGAGACGGTACTAATGGATATTTTTGGTTGCTATTGAATGTTTAGTCGATTGCTGAATTTATGTATGGGCAAAAATTAGGGACATTTAGGCCGTCATACATCCATTTCCCCTATTCTAATAGTTTGACATCTTCATTGTGTTAATCAGTTAATTTTGTCGTCAACTCATTCCAACAGTTGGTTTGGATTCTTTGGTCCACTTTGACTGGCCTCCTACAACCACAAATAAGACCCTATTTTCTCGAGGTTCTAGAAGATTTTTTTTTCAAATTCTACTCCACGCCAAAGTTCGAGTGGTAGGAATGTGATCCATTATAGAAGCTATGATTTGCTGAACACATTTCGGCAAACTCTCATAAAGCACGTCTTGCTGGGTGTTACAGATCCGTTTTTCATGTTGGTCCTTCTCTGGATATGGCATTTTCTACCTGTTTACATTTATACCAAAGTTTTTAGATTCCCCTTATCAGGGTAATTCATGATGTAATAAATTCAATTGATTTACTATCGATTTGTAACATGAATATAAAAAAAAAGAAAACCAGTCTGTCACATCATATTTATTCACACTGTATTTAGTTTGTATTTGTTGATGAATGTAAGGTCATAAGACTACTTAGATCATTGTTGAGTCATTAGGAGTTGCTCAAATTTACTCGGTGCAAAAATATTAACTCTGAGTACAGCTGGCTTGTCCCTAGGGAAAATCATAGTAAATTAATTGATAATTTTTCCATGTTAAAATAAGTTGCATTCGCGCTTGCATGTTTTGTTATATCAGCGAAAAATATGGCAACTCAAAAATCAGAACAGTAACTTGACCTCTGGACGTTTGTATATCAGAAAGGGACTGATATGCAATTACTTTGCATGATAGGACAAACTGAATTGGTATTGTTTTCACATTTTTCATGATCAAAGTCCGTAGTTTTATCGTTTTATCACGCAATATAAAAATAGATGCCAATTGATAGTGGATAACGTTGTTGTCTCAAAATAGACGAAAACTTATATGGGACTGATATGCGATTATAGGCAGTATATTACATTCAAAATAATCAATTCTTAATTTTTACTGACCTGAGCGAGAGGAATCTGGGGGATTATATTTGGCGCAGTGGCCTTCTATGGTGCGTAATATTTAAAACTTCGAGATTGGCTTGCAAGCAGTGGTGTCGCGTAACCTCACTTTTTACCTGTTCAACATCTTTTGAAAACGTTATTTAGGGTCATCTCTACATTCCAATCAGTTTCAAAGGGCACAGGGTCTTCTAGTTTGACTGATTTGTATCCATTTGAACCAATATTGTTTTGTTTGTTTACGTTTTGAGAGTTGTTGAACAGGTAGATTGAGGTTAAGGCGACGCCACTGCTTGCAAGCATAGGATTTTTGGAATATTTTCATAATTTATACAGAAATTTGTACAAATACATTCATACCGGAGCATTAGAGTGGGGCTCAATAATCCCGCAGTGGTTTGAACAGTTGATTTAAAATCCTATGACAAATTTATCAGGTTTTAAAATTCTGTTTGGATTCAAATTGTGCAAAATCCGTTATGTTTTATTTTTTGTTAGGTAAACCATTTTGCATTTCAAATCAGTCAAATTTTCAATAAAATGTATACAAGCATTTAAATATTCTTACAACAAATCTTCATCACCGTGTCAACAGGGCAACATTGCTTTTGTAAACAATGGCCTTAGCCGTTGATTTCTCGCGAATTAACGCTCACAATACAAAGTAGTTACACCATCAGAAAGAGGAATGTTTCCTCCACCATCGTTTGTTTGCAGGAATGAGCTTTTATTTGGAAGGAATCGACGGTTGAAGTCATTGTTTACAAAAGCCGTTTCGCCCTAATGAAATGTTGCCACCGAAATGTTCAATTGGAACAGGAAAACCGGGAAAAACCTGGAATTTTTCAGTTCTGTTGCTGCCACGCTGATGAAAAAAATCCGGAACTTGTTTATACCATCAGTTGCTGAGGCTCAACAAATTAATTCAAAAATTTAAGTTATCAACTGTGCCCGAGATGTGGACGTAATTTGCAAGTCGAGGTCAAGTTTTTGTTTACTCTTCATTGATATGCGCTATGAGTGCTTCGGTTCGGTAAACATCTGTCTGTGTCAACAATCAGTTGGGGATGTAGATCACGAAGTCCCGCTATGCTGTCCATGCACTTCCGGGGAAATTGTGTTCGGAATAAGTTTGCTTGAATCAAACTATTAGATAAGTTTAAGGTACTCACTTAAGTTTAGTTTACCCCGGGCAGAGGTAAAACCGCCAAAAGCGAATTAGCAACTAAACACCATTTAGGGAATTTCCGTCTTTTGTTTACCACAAGTGGAAATTTCTGTCGTACCCAATCGTCTGGGTAGTCAGCCCTTAAAACCTACCCGACAGGTAGATTTGCTGATATTCTTATTCGCCAACACCTTTAATTTTGTCACCATTCGCACATCGCTCGTCAATCCAGTTGGCAGACGCTAATCAAAACAAACAGTCCCAATCCTTAGTTCAACTTTGTAATCGTAATCATAACACTTTTGTTTGTTTGTTATTCCCTCTCGAAACACGCAGAAATCACAAAATATCAACACGCACACACATCACATCTATAGAGCTCCAGTGGCGACAGAGAGAAAGCCATCATCGGACGAAGCAACTCTCGTCAGCAGACATCGCACAACGTCAGTTGAAGGAGGACATTGAACAAGAGAGCTGAGCAGTAGAAGAAGCTCAGTTACTGTGAAACAGGTGAAGAAGATAAGGCAAAATTGCGCCAAACGTAGATAAGCAACAGCAGCAGAACAAATCGTCGCCAGAAGAAATGGCATCGGCACTGAAGAACCCCGCGGCGTCGGCCGGAGGAAGTGCAGGCAAGTTCAGCTGGATGGCCCACGTCAAGTACGAACATCTGATGGCCGGAGTTTTCGGTGGTGTAACGTCCACGCTATTACTGCACCCGCTAGATCTGATCAAAATTCGATTCGCAGGTGAGTGCTCTGTTCCGAAAGGGGAATTATAGGGTTAAGTTCAATGGGTTGGGAAACTTATGCAATTTGGTGATGTGTGATATTGCTTCCACGTGCTAGCCTTGAGCTTCACGTTGCCGTCGCCAACGTCGTCATCGGTGGGGAAGGATTTGAGTTTAGTGAACGGCGGTGGGGTCTCCCTTTAGTTCAGTCAGTAAACACGCGGCTGCAATGCAGAACAATAATGGGAGGCGGTGGGTTCAATTTCCGGTCGGACTATTTCTCGACGGGCTATCATTTGAGGGGGTTAGAAGGAAAGGGGTGTAAGTGACTTTGATCGATTCTCTTCATCGTGTGCCATTCTGGATGCTAGATGAGAACCTCCTTTATCAAACTATGTGGCAGAAATAGCGAAAAATTTGTTTATAGGGCTGTGGCTATCAAAAGAGAAAGTCGATGAAGAGAATCGATCAAAGTCACTTACACCCCTTTCCTTCTAACCTCCTCATTTGTAATAGCGTTAGAGAGCTCTCACGGTGGAAATGCTCATACTATTCCGTTGAGAGCAGACGCACAGATCCAGATGGGACGTAATAGCCAAGAACGGCGGTTAACGTTCGTTATTGAAGTGTTCTACTGTTTTCCTCCAGGGGGTCGGTCTGCTAGACGTGATAGATGTAAACATTGATTAGAGCGGCGAGGAAAACTGTCTACCAAGCAATCTGAAACTAATAGCACTTCTTAACTCGCAGGTTGTTATTGTTGTTGCTGTTTCGTACATATAATACTTGGACAATCGTTGAGTAAATTAATTTAAACAGCAGGGGGCTTTACTCGGGAACTGTTTGTAAACAAAAATAGTCAGTGGCATTTGCTCGACAATCTTCAGATTTGAACTATTTGCGCCAACAACTACTAAATAAACGATCTCTGTGTGTTTTGTTTCTGACGTCGGTGCATTTTCCTGACATCAGCAGCATAAGTGTTAATTTGTTTATCACGTTTAGTTTGGTTTGCAAACTGTTGTTGCTCCCACAAATTTGAGGCTAGTTCTGTCTGGTTGTTTGCTGCGTGTCCTTATCTTCATTTGGTTCATTGATTCTCTCAATGTAACTTTGAAATATTTGATCTGAACCCACTGATCAATTTGAGCCTATTTTCCGGCTCTTACTGCTGATAAATGTTATGACGATTGGCCAAAATTTTAAAGCCAATTCAAGCTAGGGACCTCAGTTCGATTCCCAGTCCGGTCGAGGTAGGGTTACCGTATGGTATCCTAAAGGAGGACATGTCCTCCTTTTTCAACAATTTTTCTACGTCCTCCTTTTGCTCAAAAATGTCCTCCTTTTTAATCCTTGCATATTTCCAGTAACATATTAATAAAATTGTTTTCAAAAAGCGTTGTTTGCAGAGCTTATTTCCCAACAAACAATTTGAGTTGATCAACAGCTGAATAAGCAATTTTTTAGCTGAAGAAGCTCGTTTTTGCCTGAATAAGCTCTTATTCAACATTCAATGTTTGTTGGGTTGTTTAATTATGTCGCAACTTTATCTTATCTAGCAAATGCCATTCGATGGTGGGACTAGGAGTATACTACAGCTGTCAACTCCCCACATTTAGACTGCGGTCAAGATTGCTGTCCATTTCGTGAATTCAATCTAAATTTGACGGATGGAAATTTTTTAAATAAACCTGAATATTTCAGACAAACCAGGAATCATTTTTGACAATCAATTTATCGAAAATCGGACGATCAACAACATTATATATTATTTTAGAAGAGTCAGTGAAAATTCATCAATTTTTTCTCTATTTTTACTTAAATTTGACATTTCGAAAATAAATTATAATGTTCGAAAAACTCTCTGGTAAATTTAACAGGTTGCTTAGATGTTCCATGTTGGTTTCAATCGCGATGACATGTCTCCTGATGTTTGTACATGATAAAGGCTGGGATGGTTTTAAGGCTGTAAAGCTGCAGTTTTCATGCAAATCAGCTAGACGAGAGCATTTCTAAGTATCAAACATGAATTATGAAGGCTAGTTTGATGCATTTTTCAGAAGTAAAACGAGAAGATGAATTAAATTGATATCTACCACAAGTTATGAACAATCTCAATTGAACCTTCGCAAATCATGAATTTTGTGATAGCGCACATATTATTAAAACGTTTGATAAAAACTCATTGTCCTCCTTTAATGTTAAGAAAAGGAATCATTGTCCTCCTTAATCTCCAAACCTCAAATGAAATGTCCTCCTTTTCAAGTTTTTGATATGGTATCGTTCGGGTTGGAAATTTTCTCGACTTCCCTGGAGGAAGTGCATCGAGAACACTAAGTTGAGAGTCGCTATTCGCTACAGAAGCGTAAAATCTTAGAATAAGAATAAGAAGAAGCATGCAAAAGATGTCCCTTTCGGTCAGCTGTCTCTTTCGGGCACACCATGGAAAGTTTTTCCATTATATATTCATGGGGGGACATATTGAAAAATTCCACTCAACAAAACGTGCGTGAACAGTAGACAGCTTGGCGTGCCCTTATGTCCAACATAACAGAACACATCTGGACTACTTTCGCTTGGGCATGGAAAACTACCACTGATCGAGGATAGCTTCAACCAAATCAACATGTGCCTGGGAATGATTGGTAAACAATAAACATGCTTTTCAAGGTGACATTCAAATAATAATACTAATCAGGTGGTGATACCGGATCCAATCCCGACCTTGGCTATTATGTTGAGCCTATCGCCAATACTCAGATTTGTAGCAACTTCTGTTCTGTTCTTTCTTATTAAATGGGATTGGAAGGATTGCATGATCTCGTTGGCTTAGGATAGAGAGAGGCCATCATCTTCAATTTTGAGTTTCAGCGATATGCCCAAAATGCAACAAAGAATCGCAGTAGGCTCAGCCCACTGCCGGTTGGGTTTTCAGGAGCTGTCACGAATTTATTTGTTTTTCCGCGGAGTGATAATCCAAGTTCAAATAATTTGGACGATTGATTGGTATTGTAGTGAATCTGATGCGCGTGTGATTTAATTGAGAAAGTACCGCAATTGGTGTTATATCGATTTGGGAAAGGACCGGTTGAGAGTGTCACCCGGATGGCGAAGCGCTACCAATATAACTGTGAAAGATTGGGTTGGAAAAGAAAATGTTGTCGCTGCCAAGTAGAAGGGTGACTAAAATAAAAGCAGACAGAATCTTATCATCAAGGAAGTGAGCGGCTGATAGAGAAAAAGAGAGGAGATGAAAAAGTTTGTGATGATCGATCACAGTCATGCAAACCATCCGTTTTGGTGAGACCGTTTCATTTTATAAAATTTTGGGAGTTTATCATTTTGTCTTTACTTATTTATTGGTTTGATTTGAATAGCTTCTTTTACCAGGGCTTGAACAATCGTCGCTTCGGTCGAAGTTTATTGTGATGGGTATGGTAGCCTAAAAAAATGGAGGTTATATGAATTCTGTCCTCGTCTTACGTAAGGACCAAATCGAAACAATGAACGTCGCGTAAAAGTATAATGTACTAATGGAGAGAAAATTCTGTACTACAGTTTTCTAACCAATCTGCCTTGACCTACTCTGCAATTTTGCCGAAGACAGCAACCTTCTTTATGGCCAAGATCATGTGATATTTCATATGACCGTCTTACGCCTAGATTATTTTCTTTCATTATTTAGAGATACCTCTCACCATCCCTCTCCAACAGGGGAGTTTGGTAAATGAGATGATCAACCCGATTCGTGCCTTCCTCAAAATTGATCTTTGCTCGCTTTCTACTCTCTATATACAATTTTCACACTGCCGAACTCTAACGGAACTATCAACTCTATAATCACAAAGAACAGACATCAAAGCTTAAACAAATTGTTCGAAAAATTATGTGTAAGATTTCAAATTAAAATACGTTAGAAACACTAGCGCCGCCGTCCGGAATGTTGCGACTCGATTTATCAGTTTTTGTGATTAATGAGTAAACTGAACTAAAATGTGGGTTGATCTTATTAACCGTGTATCCAAATGAACTGTCGAATCAGTTCAAAACAACGGAAATCAATCGAGTTTCTGCGGAAACCATTATTTTCGAATAAAAAACTAAGTTCTTTTACAGTTTCCTGTAGATCTACAACCGTTTTTCGTTCCAATTTTAACTGAGCATAGTAGTCAGGAGCAAAACTGGCTTTCCTTGAGTTCACTGGCGGCGTATCTTCAAATGGTTCAGTGAGGGTGTGAACTCCAATTTAAATTCAGAAAAATGTGGTAAGACTTGAACACTGCTTACCCTGCATCCGTTATTGCAGGAATTCGAAAAGCCTTCGGGGCAAGTGGTCGGAACATAACTTTTTCGTTGCAAACACTTGGACTCCACGTGAGAAGAAAATCTCCTGTAGTTCGGGCAATTCAGTATCCTCAGGAAAATTGTGAAAGATTTTCGCTTGTTTATTTGCTCACCAATAAAACTCGTACATGTTTTGATCGGTTTTAACAAACAATGTTTTGCTCACAACAATTTTGACATTCTCGTTAAGACGACGTATGCCGGTCATCGACGGCGATGGGCAGCGACACTAGCGCCACCACGATATTGCTAGTTTCAAATGTCTATTCAACCCACTGATCAATCAGTAAAATTTCTTACTCACTTTAGGAATTTGACTTACATAGATGTCTGTTCTCTGTGCTATAATTTCATCTTCTCATCTATCGTATAAAAATTACCACTGATATTTGATGTTAAGGAGAAGCTCACCGCTAAAAAAAAATTACGTTTCGATTTTTCTAAAATTATTGGAAAAAGATATCAAAAATCTTAAAAAATCACATTTTGTCATATTTTTTAATTCAGGTACAAACATATTTAGTTTAATTTATCATGGCATAAAGTTGGACTCAAAAAACCACAAAACATCAACTTTTTGGTTTTCTAGAAAGTCTAATATTTTTCCATGATGAGATAAAAAAAATATTTACATGTAAATTTTCTCAAGAATCTAAGGAAAAACTGATTTTCTTG